AAACATATGCTTTGCACCATGGTATCCAGCACATGCTTGAGGTCACCGATCATGACTGCGCTGACAAAACAAGAACCAGTAGTGTCACAGCAGAACAGGTCTACCGATACGCAACGGACCTAGAGCTTATTTATGCAAAGCTTTGTGTTAAGAGCACAACAGCCATAGAAGATCTTCTTAGCCTCCACCGTGAGAATTCCGGAATAGTAAGCGAGGAAAGAGATTTTGTTGTGACTTCTCTCCTTAGTCTTCTAAGAAAACACTCTTACATCTTGTTTGATTACCCTCACCTATTTTTCCAGTGTTTGATTAACGAAGGTATCCCTGAATTGTCGTCTACAGCAGCAGGTATTGTTGAGTCATTAACTCCCAAAATGCCATGCATGAAGTACTTAGACAATGACAAACAAAAGGGAGCAGTCCAGGCAAGATTTGAGTGTTCAGATAAAATCGCATGTTTTGATGTTTCACCTGAAATGGACTACATGGTATGCGAGTGTCGAGATGAAACAATCCATTTGTTTTCTCTGAAGTTTGGTACCAAAGTATGGGTTCAACCATCATCTACACAGAGAAAGTATTGGCCTAGAGAATTAAGTGGGAATGGTGCATATCGGCAAATTGGGCATTCCCTGTCATTCTACCATTCTGTCATCTTTCATCCAAATGGAAAGTCGGTACTACCAGGAACTCTTCGATATGTTTACACAATAAGTGGAGACAGAGAAGACCTTTATCCGGACAGCGACTGTTCATTCTCAAATTGCGTTGTACGTTCTCTTTCTGACACTGAGAACATAATTTTAACGACTTGCTATACAGAGCCAAAGCGAATAAACATTTGGGATATGGAAAATGACCAATTAATCAATCAATTAATTGAGTGCAATGCAGAAATTACTTCCTTTGCCATTTCTGAAGATTGGTCACTTATTGCTATTTCTGACATTACTAATACAATTACTGTTTTTGACGTAGACAACCAGTCTGGCTTGAAATTACCACTCGGTAAAGATGATTATCAATCGGTATGTGGATTGATGCAATTCACATCCGACAATAACACTCTGGTTTGCTGCTTTCTATATTGGCGTTGTGATGAAGCCGGTTGCCTGTTAGAAGAAGAAAGAAAACCAAGATATACCTTCATTACGCCGGTAAATAACATTTCGTTACCTGATCCTCATTTTGAGACTCTGGAATTTCGAACCTTTCTCTTGTGGCCCTTTGTTCCACCAAACACTTTGACTCAATCCACTTTCATGGGGCAGAATGAAGGACCTTCCTGGGTATCGAAGGTGCAGAGAGAGATTCCACATTTGTTCTCAGGTTCCTACATCAGTCTAAACGATGAAAGAATTTTGGTTGGTAGCCCAGATCACAAAAACGTGACGATGTTAAATGTTGGTCTACTGCAGAGGGAGTCCGATTCGACTTACACTTCGAACGTTAACATGGATGTCAGGAAGATTATTTTTTCTATGGAAGGCGATGCAATATACGTCGTAAGTTCAGGCAGGTTTGTCTACTCGAGTTCAGATGAGGTAAAGATAACTATCTGGAGCATGTCAAGTCGAGAATTTCTGAAGACAAAGACCTTCTATGGCCCTGTGTCGATCGTTCCAACGAAGGAAGGTCTTGTACTTTGTAAAAATGATCGTGTAGCAGAGTTGTGGAATTTCAACCTGTCGAAGTGCATTCGAAGTATTGTTAAACTTACTAGTGATACTAGTATTTTATGTAAGCTAACCATTATCCCGGTATCAGATGAACTGATAGCCTTTTTTTACGCAGTGAATTCATACGAATCAATTTATGTCAGAAGTCCTCATGAATCGGAAGAAACTGAACACTCACTTGATGATTTATTAGAAGGATTTTTTTTCGGGGATTATAGAAATTATCGTCTTGACTTTATAGACATATCCAACGTTGGAGGAAGGCTTGTTTCCTCACTAAGCATGGGAGTTGGCGCCAAAGAATAAGTAGACTATGTCTCATGCAGTAGTTGTTTGGGCGAAGTGTTGGTTTGCACTGTCGAAGATATATCCGAGGGATTACCTATAGACAACGAGAAGCTCACTGTTAGCTTAAGAAAGAACGGAATAATTAAATGAGAACGAAACACAGAATACGTGTTCTCATTGTCTCCGTTCCAACAGCACATGATTTTCTCACCCAGGAATGAGTTTGTTGTCACGTGGAACACTCTCGACAGGGGCCAAGGTATACACGTTCTTCGGGCGGAAACTGGAGAGACATTGCATGTCTTTCTTAGAGACCAGAAAGACATTATTGAATGTAAGTTTTTAGATGATGAATCTCTGGTATGCTGCAGTGAGGACAACTTCCTTCGATTGTATAATGTCAGAACCGGAGACCTTCTAAGTGTTTTAGACATTGGAGAGCAACCTTTCTGTCTGGGAGCATGTTTGTACCAGCCTTTTATTGCCATTGGTTTGTCCGGCACAAGAATAAAATTCGTCCACGTACAGTTACCAACAGAATGTAAAAAGAAGAAATAAAGGTGAGCCCTTCTCTAGACGGTCAAAAATAGGCACACGGCCAGTTTCGCGAGTTAATGTAACCTAACAGTACCTAGACTCTACGAGTTCTCTCTATTTTTTCAGTCCGTAGCGCGAAAGGCTCGAGACACGAAAATAACCACGCGCGCGACTGAATGTGCAGGCTCTCTCTCTCGCGTGTACTTTTTTCACTAAAAAGTTAATTTGAAGAAAATAGGAGATTACTTGCAGCCAAAACCAGGAGGCAAAATTAATTATGGCTCCTGGTCTAAACAGTGCCCACACCTCAACACGATAAGTATATATACGTCTAGAGTGAGTCTTATTCTTACAAATTTGCTCACGAAAGTTCATAAATCGTGTTCCGCGGTTCTGGGGAACAAATACCGATGTTTCAAAGGGAACGTATAATACCGTTCCAGTTTTACTGCTCATGAAAAAGACCAGCGCCAAAAGGATAGAGCCGACCATAAAGTTAAGTGAATGTACCAAAAACGATTTGAAAGATTTATACTGTAGGACACAGATGACAGTGAAGCAGGGAGAGAATATGAAAAAATCTACTGAGAAGAAGAACAATGTTTGAAATTACCTATAATCATCGCCATCAAGTCCACGACTTACAGCAACTTTAAGAATTACTTTATTTCGTAACTTGACATAGTATAAAATTTCTCAACTTTAAGTTTTCTTGCACTCCAGTTTTCGCTGGTAGTAGATTTCAGGATTGTTTTGAGTTTGCGAAAAACGCGAACTTTAGATTTGATAGCTTCCACCTTACTAATTTAAATAACCCAAGTGAATTTCTGTTTTCAGTTGCAGCTTTAACGCAAGTGAAATGAGCAACTTCTGATGACCTGACACTAGCAGAGCACAAAGAGCTGGATTCTGGATGAAAAGAAATAATTGCAAAAGTTGGGATTTAAATTTATTTGAAGAGCCCTGGATGCATGCAAGCTGCTATAAAGAGACCTGTATATTATGAACTTTGAAATTTCGTACATTAACAGAATAGCGGATGTAGGGAGGGGCCGGGGGTGGGGCGGGTCGGAGGGAGGATCCGTAAAAGCAACAATCAGACTAACTGCTAAAATTTGAAACTGGAAAAAGGATGAATATTACTATACACAGCCTTCCTTTAGTAGCTTACAATGGAACTTGTTTTGCACTCTTAACCATAATCAGTACACCTTTTTAACCACTGGCTTGTTATATAAATCGACGAAATCTGGACAAAAAGTAAAACTAAACCAACTAGAAAAACGTTGTAAACCTTTTTTGTATGGCTTTTTTTGTGAATGTTCCAGATGTCTGAAAATGACTCAAATCTCCTAGTAACACTGTAGTAAAAACATGCAGGGTGTAATATACTAATGTACGGTGTGATATAAGAGTCATGTTAACACTCTTTGTCTGGCCTGGACCGCACCACACTGTTTCTGAGACTTTACAGGCGCGTCACCTTGAGTTTGATTTACTAGTTAAAATTGTGTGTTGCACGATTATCATGACATTAGTGGTCTGTATAGTTGACTTTTCCTTGTAGAAGTAATAGAGAGCTTAAGCAACAACGAAGGCGACGGCTACGGCTGCGAAAACGTCCCTTAAAAAGTGAATTCGCGCTGCCTCAAACTTTATCGCACCTGTTCCATCTCGTTTAATTCGTCAAAAGTTGGCAAATTTTTTTGGAGTTGAATTCTAAAGGACTCTATCAAAGTTCAAGAAATGAAAAAGAAAGTTGTTGTCTTGTGTTCTCGTCCTCGACAAAACTTGAAATTATGCATTTTCACCATTTTCGTAGTCGTGCAACGAAGGCTACGAAATGTACAAAAAAGCATGATGCACGTGCAAAGTTGTTGTTTTGCCCATCTAAACTTTTTTTTTGCCGTTCTCATTGCCGTCGCCGTCGTCGTTGCTTAAGCTTCCTAATGTTTAATCTTACCCACCACCTCTTTATACCTCCTAGATCCAGCAAAGTTACGTACCCTGCTTGCAGAGGTTTGTCTGTTCCGGCATGGTTTTAAGCATTAAAGACGTAAAGAAGCCAATTACATTTAGGCGAATGTTAGCAATGAAAAAGACTTCATAAATACTTAAAACCACACCCAAAAGAAACATCTGCTGGCAGGGTAACGTTACCATGTTGTTACTGTGTAACAGTGGAGTAAAAAGGGCGAATTACTGGTTTTCTTTTTCGTAAAATGGCAGCAATGAAACCAATTTGTTACTCGAGGTTCACGATTTGATTTTCCGGATATGTTACTAACTGTTTTTTTTTAGGTCAACCTGATGGTACAGTCAAGAAATAAGAAAGTGCTACAAAACTGGGATAATTCATAGGGTCATGTTGTACAGTGGACCCTGCATAATCACCGTCCCGGTACAATGTGAAGTACAAAGTTCAGTCAAACTCCGTTAGTACAGACACTGACGGGACCATAAAAAGTGTCCGTATAAACGGGGTGTGTCCGTGTTAAGCGGGTTGAATTTAGAGAGATTATAAGGGCTTTGTTTTCCCAGAGACAAAGCAAACTCTCCATGAAAATGAGCTGTCCGCATTAAGCGGGTGTCCGGCGCAAAGCGGGGTTTGGACTGTATGGAACAACACCCTACAAGAGAGGATTCTCTCCTAGCACCCAATATAACTTTTATATACCGTATTTATATTAGGTGCAATTACAACACATTCTTCTTTTATCCAGTGAATTCTTGCGAATCAATTTATATCAGAAGTTCACAACAATCACCACAAAGCGAAGAATCTTCCGAATCGAAAGAAAACGAGGAATATTTGAACTTTCTAAAATTGTTCAATATGCGTGCTTATCGCATTGACTTTGTAGACTCGACCAGCAATGGAGGAAAGCTTGTTTCCTCGTTGAGGATCGAAGCTGGCGCCAATGAATACGTAGACTATGCCTCATGCAGTAGTAGTCTCGGCGAAGTGTTGAGTTGCGCTAGTGTTGAAGATAAAAAAACCACGGCCGGGGGACCGATAGACCACGAGAAGGTCACCGTCAGCCTAAGAAAGAACGGACTAATTAAATGGGAACGAAATACGGAATACTGGAACGTATTGTCTCTGTTATCAAAGCACATGATTTTCTCACCCAGGAATGAGTTTGTAGTCACGTGGAACACTCTCGATGAGGGCCAAGGTCTACATGTTCTTAACGCAGATACTGGAGAAACACTGCACGTTCTTCTTAGAGACCAGAAAGACATTATTGAATGTAAGTTTTTAGATGATGACTCTCTCGTATGCTGCAGTGGGGACAACTTCCTTCGATTGTGTAATGTCAGAACCGGAGATCTACTAAGTGTTCTAGACATTGGAGAGCAACCACTCTGTTTAGGAGCCTGTCTCAATCATCCTCTTGTCGCCATTGGTTTGTCCGGCACAAGAATAAAATTCGTCCACGTACAGTTGCCAACAGAATCTAAAAAGAAGAATTAAAGGTGAGCTTTTCCTACTAGGTTACAGTAACTCGCCTGTTTTTGACCGAACAGATCGTAACAGTACCTAGACTCTACGAGCAGTGTCTATTATTACAGTCCGTGGAGCGAAAGGCGCGAAACACGCAAATAACGGTGCGCGCGGCTGTGGGTGCGGGTTCCCTCGCGCGCGAGCACTTTCGTCACTGAAAAGTTGAAGGAGACTTTAAGATCCAACGACGCGGCAGCAACGAAAACGTCACTTAAAAAGTAAATTTGCGTTCTTCATTCTTCATCTCGATTATTCCTACTTACTTACTTGGTCAAATGTACGCGAACCCTCCCGAATTTGAATTCCAAGGGACCATACTCAATTCATTTCAGAAAGCGAAATAAAATTTCTTCGTTGCTTGTTTACGTTGTCCATAAAACACGAAATTAGGCATTTTCACGTCTTAGTTGTGCAAAAACGGCAAAGAAATGTACAAAAAAGCGTGATGCATGTGCAAAGTTGTTGTTTTGTTTATTAAACCCTTTATTTTAGACGTTTTCGTTGCCGTCGCGTCGTTGAATCTTAAAGTCCCTAATTTGAAAAAAATAGGGGACCACTTGCAGCCTAAGCCAGGAGGCATAATTGATTATGGCTCCTGGCCTAAACAGTCCCCACACCACAACACAATTAGTAGATATACGTCTACAGTGAATATTATTCTTACAAATCTTCGCACGAAAATTCATGAATGGTATCCCGCGAGTTTAAAGGAACAATTACCGATGTTACAAACGGTATAATACCATTCTTTGATCTGCTTATGAAAAGGAACAGCGCCAAAATTGAAGAGAGAGCCGACCATAAAGTTAAGTGAAATGTACCAAAGACAGTTTTGAAAGATTTGTACTGTAGGACACAGATGACAATGTAGCAGGGAGAGAATATAGAAAAATCTACTGAGAAGAAGAACAATGTTTGAAATTACCTAAAATCATCGCCATCACGTCCACGAATTACAGCAACTTTAAGAATTATTTTGTTTTGTAACATGACATAGTACTAAATTTTGAAACTTTTATTTTTCTTCCATTCCAGTTTTCGGGAGTAGTAGATTTCGGGATTGTTTTGAATTTGCGAAAAACGCCAATTTTAGACTTGATAGCTTCCAGCTTTCTTGAATAACACAAGCCACTTTCTGTTTACAGGTGCAGTTTCAACACAAGTGAATTGAGCAACTTCTGGTGGGCAGTCATTAGCCGGGCACAAAGAGCTGGATTCTTCAAATCAGTGACCATGATCTTTATTTAGTGTTGTGCTTGGCGATGGGTAAAGAGTATGAAGAGAAATGATTGCAAAAGCCGGAATTCAAATCTATTTGAAGAGTCCTGGATGCAAGCTGCTACATTCAGGAATTGAAAGAGACATGTATATTACGAACTTTGAAATTTCGTACGTTAACAGAATAGCGGATAGCCTGCGAGCGAGCTCTCCTATTTGGGCGAGTGAAGCGAGTCTCGCGAAAACGCGCGAGCGAGCGGCCAAGCCGCGAGGCCCCTCGCTCGCGTGTTCTCGCAAGGCTCGCTTCGCTTGCTCAAATAGGAGAGCTTGCTCGCAGGCTAAATAGCGGATATAGGGAGTGGTGGAAGGTCGGGGATTGGAGGGAGGGTCCTTGATCAAAAGGCTGAACATTCGCAAGCAGCCTTCATTTGGTAGGAACTTGTTTTGCACCCTCAATCATGATAAATACACCTTTTTAACCACTGGCTTGTTATATAAATCCACGAAATGCGGACAAAACGTACAACTAAAGCAACTAGAAAAATGTTGTAAACCTTTTTTGTATGGCTTTTTTGTGAATGTTCCAGATGTCTGAAAGTGACTCACATCTCCCAGTAACACTGTAGTAAAAAATGCAGGGTATAATATACTAATGTACGGTGTGATATAAGGGTCATGTTAACACTCGCTGTCTGGCCCGGACCGCACCGCACTGTTTCTGAGACTTGACAGGCGCGTCACCTTGAGTTTAATTTATATAATAGTTAAAATTGTGTCTTGCACCATTATCATGACATTAGTGGTCTGTATAGTTGACTTTTCCTTGTAGAAGTAATAGGGAGCTTAACCAACAACGACGGGGACGGCTACGGCTACGAAAACGTCCCTTAAAAAGTGAATTCGCGCTGCCTCAAACTTTATCGCTTGTTCCATCTCGATTAATTCGTCACATGTTGGCAAATTTTTTTGGAGTTGAATTCTAAAGGACTCTATCAAAGTTCAAGAAATGAAAAAGAAAGTTGATGTCTTGTGTTCTCGTCCTCGACAAAACTTGAAATTATGCATTTTCACTATTTTCGTAGTCGTGCAACAAAGGCTACGAAATGTACAAAAAAGCATGATGCACGTGCAAAGTTGTTGTTTTGCCTGTCTAAACTTATTGCTTTTTTGCCGTTCTCGTTGCCGTCGCCGTCGTCGTTGCTTAAGCTGCATAATGTTTAATCTTACCTACCTCCTTTTTAAACCTCCTACATCCATTCACGTTTCCTACCCTGCTTGCAGAGGTTTGTCTGTTCCGGCATGGTTTTAAGCATTAAAGACGTAAAGAAGCCAATTACATTTAGGCGAATGTTAGCAATAAAAAAGACTTCATAAATGCTTAAAACCACACCGAAAAGAAACCTTTGCTGGCCGGGTAACGTTACCATGTTGTTACTGTGTAACAGTGGAGTAAAAAGGGCGAACGACTAGTTTCTTTTTTTCGTAAAATGGCTGGCAATGAAATCAATTTATTACTCGAGGTTCACGATTTGATTTTCCGGATATGTTACTAACTTTTTTTTTTATGTCAACTTAATGGTACAGTCAAGAAGTAGGAAAGTGCCACAAAACTGGGATAATTCATAGGGTCATGTTGTACAGTGGACCCTGCATAATTACCGTCCCGGTACAATATGAAGTACAAAGTTCAGTCAAACTCCGTTAGTACAGACACTGACGGGACCATAGAAAGTGTCCGTATAAACGGGGTGTGTCCGTGTTAAGCGGGTTGAATTTAGAGAGATTATAAGGGCTTTGTTTTCCCAGAGACAAAGCAAACTCTCCATAAAAATGAGCTGTCCCCATTAAGCGGGTGTCCGGCGCAAAGCGGGGTTTGGACTGTATGGAACAACACCCTACAAGAGAGGATTCTCTCCTAGCACCCAATATAACTTTTATATACCGTATTTATATTAGGTGCAATTACAACACATGGTAAATTTATTTCCATCTTGAAAATAATGCCACAAAAATAGTAATTATTAGATTTTTTATCCGAGGCAGGGATATGGGATCCTGTCCATAGACCGTTGCTATTAGAAATTTGCCTCAGAACGTTTGCCACATACATTGACGAATGTCTCCGTGCAAGTGATGTAAAGGTTATTTAATTTCCTTGGTAATAAAAGTGTTACGTGAAACTCTATATCTGGGTTCTTCAATAGGGGGGTCTTGTTGTTCCATAGTTACTTTTTCTATTTTTTGGGGACGAAGAATATGATTACTTATACTGGCGGGGTCCATGTCCTACTTTACGTAGGGGTTGTATCGAGGTTCAACTGCATGTATCCAGATATCAGTTAAGTTTGTACATTCTCAATTCCATTATCGTACTCCTCAGCAGCTTTTCTAAACTACAGTTCTGTTGGAGGGAATGAGATAGCCTGCATGGCGTGCCTTCCTCGTGGGCCTTTTTCTTTTTTGCCTCCATTCGTTGGATCATAAATAAGCGCTTGCCGATTGGTACTCATTTATGCAAAACATAAATGACACTCCCTTTTTCTAATTGCAAAGTTTTCGAAACAATCAAGCAACATAAGTCTATGCAAATGCAAACAAGAGATTGTCGTACTCAAACTGTTTAAATCTGAGATTCATCAATGGGCCACGTCACTTAGAACACTTTGTTTCTTAATGAAACATGTCCAGGGATCTACACGGAAGAGGCTTCGTTAGAGAACGTGCCAGCAGAGAGGTAAGTTTATCAAAAAATAGCTTCAGGGCCTTGTGTACTCCACAGATCGTTTCACAGGGCATTTATCGAGGCATCTTAATGTATCCACCTCGATGTTTCACTTTTACTATGTAGTGCAATTTTGTTTGGATTACTTCTCTAAATTACGTTTGGGATTCTGAAAAAACTTCTGGGATTGATGCCAACATCTTGAAACTTTCAAACCTTCTAGAACATTTTCAGCAGAGAGCGTAAGAAACGAATGGATAAACATTCCACGAAGCAGACATTACATTTCCCCTCAACCTCCCTTAAGCTCTATGAGCTTCTAGCTTCTTGCTCCATGCAATTTTTAATTCAAAGCTTTCTGTCGCCATTAGCTCCCGATAATATCGAACGAAAGAATATCCTTTGCCACCCTAGAAAGACCGCACGTCTATGTATTTCCGCCTTGACAACACCAGGCGGGTTTGAGCTGTGAACGCCTGTGAGCGGCCAGTTCAAGTACATGCAAGTACGTCGTTTACCTTTTTTCTGTCTAATGATGATATCTGCATCGATCTGCAAGTTTATGCTTCTCTTTTCCCTTCGCTCTTAAACTCGTAGGTAAACGTGGCCCGTAAAGTATGATTCACGCTAAAAAGCTGACACGCTTGATAACCCAGTCAGTTATTGCGAGCTTTATATGACACAGCTCTTCTGCTTTTCGGGAGAAACAGATAAAAAAGCAGCGCGTTTATCAGAAAACTTGTAAAGAATTCACAAGTGAACGAAATCCAGTGGTCATTAAATTCTGAGTGTATACAATCAAGTGATGACTTACAATGTAGTGAAACTGCTAATTCATTATACAGCTTCAATTTGCATTAACGTACATCAACGCTCAAAATACCCTATCTCATCTACAGGCAATTATTTGTATTGATGATAGTCAGAGAGTGAGTTACTTTCTCAAATTGAGTGTCGCGGATATAGAAAAATTAATATGGTTATATGTCTGCGTTGTCGACAATTTCCACATTTGTTTTACTCGTTAGTGTTGTGTTGCTTAGGTATATTTTTTCACCCTCCTTCTCTTTGCAATTCAATAGACCGATAATTTGTTCATTCAATTTGCTTCAAATAAAATGATAATGTATAATGTTTGGTTCTAACAAACGACCTGCAGTAAATGATTTCCAAATTTTTAATGTTACGTATTTGCTTCTATGCACAAAGGAAACGCCATGTATAATTAAAGCAATTACTCTTAATAGCTCCCCGAATATCTAAAAAAGCGGAACTTTGGGACTTCAAAGCTCTTGTCCTTTTAATGCGCTTGGCTAGCCAACTCAAATCAACCACGATAGTTGTTCCAGTTCGGTTCATTCCACTAAATACCCTCGACAGCTAATAAGTTAAACATCGTCCTTGAGGGGATCGGTTGTAAATTTTTATATTTATATAATCATGATCGTATTCCTATTAATCGTCACGTATTAACAATATTCGCTAACTCTCTTTACGGATGACTTGGTCCTGGTTTCATGGTCACATAAAAACAAAGCAAAAACAGTGACGGAGCGAGTTAATCGTTGTAGTGTGACCCACGTTATATTTTTCTTGTCCACGTAGGTTCAGAATGAATTTCCAAGACATGAATATCTTCTGCATCAAGGTTGCTAAATGGCGACAGCAGCACCTTCACCCCTGGCCAGCTCAAGAGAGAAGACAAATGGAAACAAGCTGATCAGACTGCTTATTGATGGTGGAACGACGGTGTTGAGGAATATTTTCGATGGTATTCACCCTCCTGCTAACTTAACTTCTGATCTCAATTCCAATTACTCTATTCTTAGTACCCTTTTGCGTAAAAGAGTTCTAAATGGCCAGCAGTGGGACAAACTCTTCCCTTCTGGTGGAGGGCTACCAGACTCCAACACGTTTGACATCACTCTTCTGTTCCTTCTACTAACCAACATTTGTGGTTTATCCCCTCCCCTGACAGGATGGCACACCAAGCCATCCCCTGGTGACAACTCTCTTGAGGCTAACCTTGCTCGCGTTAAGTTCTTTCGGAATGAGTTGTATGGTCACGTGCCGTCTACAGGGGTTGATGAGACATCTTTCTCTATATTTTGGCAAGAAATAAGCACCACTCTTTATTCGCTCGGTTTAGATCAAGCTGAGATTGACAGACTGAAGGCAGAGCATGGAGGAGAGGAAGATTACCTTGATGCCTTAATTGAGTGGGCTGACAGTGAAGAGGACATAAAAACACAGCTGAAGGATATCCACCAGACGCAACTTTAACTCAGTAAAACAGTTAAAGATGGCACTTTTAAGATGGAAGAGCTACGTCAAGCCCTAAGCAAAACTCAGGATGTCGTAGATCAAGCAGTGGAAATAGAACTCAAAGGACAACAAGAAATGAGGGCAGCACAGTCACGTCTAGAGGGAGTGTGTGAGTCCCAAGACGAAATTCGTGCGTCAATTCAAGAGGTAAAAGAGGAAGTAAAAAGCTTGACGAAAAAGAGAAACGAGCAGGCAGATGAAGTGCTAAGAACTCTTGTGAAGT